TGGCCAAAAGTCCTTTATTTGACTTCCACAGCACTGTTCACCATTGAAGGAAGTCAGGACAGGAACTCAAACAGGGCAGGACCCTGGAGGCAGGAGCTGATGCAGAGGCCATGAAGAGGTGCTGCTTACTGGCTTGCTTCACCTGGTTTGTTTAGCCTGCTTTCTTATAGAGCCCAGGACCTCCAGGCCATTGGTAGCACCGCCCACAACAACCTGGGCCCTCCCCCACCAATCACTAATTAAGTTCTCTCCTTTCAGATGACTCTATGTTGTATGAAGTTGACATGAGACACACACACAAGCCAGCACAGACGTGTATTGCTTCCTGTAATTTTATTGATTTTACAGTTTTGTAGACTTTCTCCACCCTCTTGTTTAATTTGTCTCATCATTTTTGTTTTCCTTCTATAGTCTGTTGAATGTGCTTATCTTTCCTTTCACACAGAAGTATTCCTTCCTGTATCCTCTGTAGGGTTGGCTTGTGGTCATGAGCTCCTTTAGCCTGATTTTATCATGGGAAATTTCCCTTTCACCTTCAGTCACAATAGTGTTATCGGGTATATTAGACCAACATTTAGGATCTTTCAGGTTTGAAAGGTATCAGTTCAAGTCTTTCTTGCTCTCATGGTTTGGATTGGCAACTCAGCAGTTACTTTGGTGGCACTGCTTTTGTGTGTGACTTAGCTCTTTTCTCTTGCAGTTTTCAACATATTTTCTTTGTTCTGTACATTTAATGTTTTAACTATAATATGATGCATGGAGTTCCTTTTCAGGTTCTTTTGTGTTCTGTGTGCCTCTTGTACCTGAACGAACTTTTCTTAGATTCGAGAAATTTTCTTCTATAAGTTTCTTAGAGCCATTTCCTATACTCTGTGCATAAAACTCTTTTCCTTCTTACATGGCTATGCTATATGTCATAAGTTTTGCCTTTCCTGAAATCCTAAAGTTCTTGCATATTGAGTTCATACAAACATATCATGACCTGATCTGAATTATCAAATTTGTCTTCATATCCTGATAATTTATCTTCCACTATTGGCAAACTTCTTCTTTGACCTATTGTGTTTTTCCTTTCCATCAACATTTCAGTTTGGGTTTTCTTAGTATTGATATATATTGATGTATTTATTACTGTATCTTCATATCACTCTACTGTTTATGTTCTCTTAGAAAATATATGGGCCCCTGTAGGCAGGATTTTTCTGTCTCACCAGCCTGCTCCTAAATTACTACACAGATACTTACATTAATTATAAACGCTCAGCCGATAGCTTAAGCTTGTTACTAGCTAGCTCTTACAACTTAAATTAACCCGTATTTCTTATCTAAGTTCTACTACATGGTTCAAGGCTTGTTACCTCATTTTGCACATGACCTGCTTCCTCTGCATCTAGTTAACAACTTTCCGAATCTGTTCTTCCCAGCATTCCTCTGCCCAGAAAATCCCGCCTAGCTATTGGCCTGTCAGCTCTTTATTAACTAGTGAGAGTGATACATATTCATAGTGTATGAAAAGATTGTTTCACAGCAAGTACTCTTTGAGTTGTTTTTAACCATATTTGTATCATTCTTTTGTATCCTGATTCTGGAATTTCAAGTAAGTCATTTTTATTGAGGAGTCATTGTTATGAAATTGTATTTTAATTTTTATGTGCATAAGGGTTTTTCTGAATGTATGTATGTGCCTCACATACATGCATGGTATTCATGGATGCCAGAAGAGAGCATCGGATCCCCTGGAACAGGAATTGCATATTTCTGTAAACAGTCACATGGTGCTGCGAACTGAACCCTGGGTCCCCTGGAAGAGCAGAAAGAGTTCTTAATCTTTGAACTGCTTTAGTGGCCCAAGTGTGGTAATTTTTAGGAGATGAGTGATCCTGGTTTTTAATGTTATTTGTGTGTTTGCCCTGGGATATTCCCATTTGGGGTAGATTGCTAGTAAATATTTCTTCTTTATTATTATTTTAATTCAGGTTGTCCCTCCTCTTTCAGTGGACTTTTTTGCAGTGTTCAGGAGAGTCTAGGTCATAGTACAGTTGTATTTGTCTGCTAGACTGGTGTTGCAGGCACCAGACTCAATCCCTCGCCCATCCATGTAGTTGAGTACCACCTGCAGCAACAGTCAGTCTCCAAGAGTTGACCGACTCTGCAGGAGACTACAGAAACAGATGTGTGTTAAGTCTTGATTGGTTTAGGGAATGGGGGAACTCATAGCACTGTGTATGTTAATATGTTAGAATTGGTGGAAAGGAAGAGGAAAGAAAAAGTGAGCCATCAGTGGTAGGTCTTACATCAGGCTAAATGGGATGTAGATCAGAGGATTACATAAAGAGAAGTAGGAGTAATTGCACCACAGAGGAAAGTGGGCTGAACAGATAGTTAACAGTAGACTGTTCTGAGAGGGTAAAGATGTGCACCCTCTCTCTTTAACAATACAGTAATAAGGTAAACAATAATATAATAAGGACATGTTATAAGCCAGGCCAGCCTCTGGGCTTTGGGAGATGTCATAGTAAGAAGAATACTTGCTACTGCATTTGGAATCAACTAAAACTCAAGATTTTAGGCATTCCTATAAGGGGTTTTCTTGATCAAATCATTTAAAGGGGAAAGAGAAAGGAATTAAAAAATGAAAAAGAAGACACACACACAAGTACATGCACACATGAACAGTAGAGGACAGTGCTTGTTACAGCACCTTACTGTGTTATACTGGTGAGAAACAGCTATAGGTGAGGGAGAAGGGCTGGGTAGAGTTTAGAGGATTGGGTCACCAAGAGCTGTGGTGAGGGAGGAGAGTTGGATGGAGACGTGAAGGAGACCCCTGGCCTGAAGGCTGACTTCCTCTCCTTGGTGGATCCGCTGCTCCATCTCTCTGGTCCAGGATGGGGCTTTGCCCCATGTTGACTTTTCTCAGTCCTGTCCTTTATGGCCTCCCAGTTCTACCTGTGTGTCTTTTCTTGGTTGTCCTGTGGGCTGTGGGCTGTGGATAGCTGAGGGAAACTCCACTCAGCCACCAACTGTGCATCCACAGGCCAAGGGGCTGTATGGTACCCACAGAGGTTAAGAGCGCTGACTGCTCTTCCACAGGTCCTGAGTTCCATTGCCAGCAACCACACGGTGGCTCACAACCATCTATAATTCAATCTGGTGCCTTCTTCTGGCACGTAGGCAGAACACTGTATATGTGATAAATAAATCTTTAGAGCTCATGCTTAACCCCCACTGCTTTGCCTTTCCCCTTTGGGGTACTCTTGGTGGCCCTGACACAGTTTCTCACAGATCTCCTATGGAATCCCTACTTTTTAGATTTCCTGGTAGGAATCTGGACTCATTGGTCATAATTGTGGCAGCAAATCCAGTCCAGTGGGAGGGAAAGTTCGTGGGCCCAGTGGTACTATGGGTTTGTTAGGGGTGTTGATGAAGTCAGTTGCCAGGCTGGAGAAGCAACTCTGATGGGATGATAGGATATTCCCTTTCACTTTGTTTTCCAAAATTATAATCAGACATTTGTCACAATGTAGCTTCTAGTCTGCCATCTTACCTGGAAGTCTTCAGAATTTTTTCTTTTAATCACTAAACTGTTTTCACTAATTGCAGGTGTGTTTGTCAGGGTTCTCTAAATGAATAGAGCTGATAGAGTGACTATATATGCACACACATGTGCGTGCATGCACACACACACACACACCGGGATTTATTAGATTGGCTTTCAGGATGTAGTCTGAGTAGTTCAACAATGGCAGTCTGGTATTGGGGAATCTGAGCATTTGGTGTCTGCTCAGTCCATAAGGCTGGACGTCTCAGCAGTCCCAGTCTGGAACTTGAGGGTTCCTGGAGAACTGTGGTCTTCGGTCTGTGTTGGAAGCCTGAAGAAGTTGGTCCTGATATTGATGAAGGAGAGCTGCAGTAACAGATTAGATGAATTTACCAGACAGAGTGAGGGCAAGCAGGCCAAAAGCTAAGTTTCCATTTTTCATGTCTTTTTGTTTGGGCTGCTACCAGATGGTTCCACCCACATTTAGGGTACATCTTTCTGCTTTAAATGATTTGATCAAGAAAACCCCTTACAGGAGTGCCTATAAGCTTGAATTTTAGTTGATTCCAAATGCAATCAAGTTGAAGTCCTGGGGCAGCCATCACAATAAGTATTCTTTATCTTTTCTTTTACTGTCCTTTTTAATTTAATTTAATTTTTCTTTTCACTTCTCTCCTTCCTCCCTCCCTCCCTTCCTTCTTCCTCCCCTGCCCTCTCTTTTGAGACAAGGTTTCTCTGTGTAATTGCCCTGATAGTCCTAGAACTCTCTTTGTAGACCAGACTGGCTTAGAACTCACAGAGATCCCTCCCAAGTGCTAGGATTAAGCTGTACCAGCACACCCAGCTCAAATATTCTTACCTTTTATTAATCATACGTATTTTAATAGTGCAGCATGAAATTTGAATGTGTTCACATGCAACGAAATTATTGTAATTAATAAGTATGCCATTATCTTGCATTACCCTTTAGGGATATAAATCTTCCCAGTGCATTTAAAAAAATCAAAGTAGATCTTTCCACGGGCCACAGTTTTAACTGTAAGCTGCATATCATTAATGGGGGTTTTTCTCCATCCTGTACTGTTTGATTTACTAGTTGGTTCAAAATTTCCCTAGAAATAGACATATTTTTTGTTTGTTTGTTTGTTTGCTTGCTTGCTTTCTTGCTGTCCTTTGAGACAAGGTCTCACTCTACAGATGAGGCTGATCTGGAACTCACAATCCTCCTGTATCTACTTCCTAAGAGCTAAGATTACAGCAAAATGCTTCTGTGGTCAGCTGTGTTTCTTGAGAACAATCCTCAGCCGATATGCAGTCAGTGTCCTGTCACTGTTTCAGTGTAAATGTACTATTTTACTCTGCTGTCATCATTCTCTAAGAAGCAATCTATGTAAGAACCCTGCAGTCACTTGGGGGAACCTGAGACATATCCAGTGTTTACATTTTTCAATCTGTGCAGGACATGCAAGTGTCCAGAGGGGTCCAGTGCAAATCTTGAGGAGGAGATGCAGTGGAACACCTCTCCAATGGTGGCCCTTGTAGAGCCTTGCCCCCAGTGCCCTCAAGTGGCATATCTAACAAGCAGCAGCACGGAGTCACAAGGACATGTGCCCCACCCCTCCCAAAGCCAAGAAGTTATCTGTGAATTCTTGGAAAATCCTAGGAGCTGGGTGAGTTGCATAACCATTCTTCCTTTGTGTTTTAATTTCCTGGCATCACTCAGTGCTTAATCTGGGTGAACTACTGAGTTATTTAGTTGGCTTCCACTTCGTAAGACAAGATCACAAAAATGTGCATAGGGAAAAGAGAAAATTTATAATTAAAAAAATTCAGAGAAGGAGTTGATCTGGGCAAGGGGAGGCAGGGGAGGGGCTGGGAGGAATGGAGGGAGCAGAAACTTCAGTTAGGATGTAATGCATGAGAGAAGAATAAGAGTTAACAACAACAACAACAACAACAACAACAACACACACACACACACACACCTTACCCCAAGCTCTCATTATCAGTAGATACAGCTCACCACTTGTGTTAATACTTGCACACAGATGGATACAGATTGGCTTTCTTAAACTCTACCCTAACAGTGCTGTCAGAAATGGGCACGAGCAGGGCTACAGGAGTCCTGAAGTGTTTAAGAAAGATATACAAGTCTTCTTATTTAAAGAAATAATGTTCTGCTAATTTCTTTCCAAAGTCTGAAGATAAGAAAAAAGAGAGGGAAAGACTGATGGACTCAGTGCACTCTCTGCTCTGTGCTTTGCGACAAGAAGTAAGGAGGACTGAAGTGTTACAAAACGAGCTAACCGAGTAAGGGTTTACTGTTTCAAATCTCTCCAACCATTATTTGACTTAACTATAATGTCGTGGAACCTACATACAAATTCACACTGAAGGTACAGTACTGCAATGTGGGTTTCATACACTTGCAGTACAACCTCAACCCTTTGAGTGTCAAAGTATTACATTTAATGATTTTAAAAACAGTAAGAATAATGCCAACTGCACTCTTCTTCATCTACCTTGAATTTTTATTTCTGTGGATTTTATCATCCATTTCCTTATTTTATGCTAATAGTAACTTGATTCAAAATAAAAGAGTATCAACTTTGTTTCATATGAATTTTCATTATTGGTAATTAGTCCAAAAAGAAGGAACATATACTACAATTATATCACACAAAAGACTTTTATTATTAAAATATTTTATTGTTTAAGATATCATATGTATACATATTATGTTTTGATCAAATCCACCTCTAAATTCCTCCCTTCCAGTTTCTCCCTGTGCCTCGTCCACCAATTTTTCCTCCAAATTTTATGTGCCTTTTATGTTTTTTAGACATGCCAAGTCTCTTAGTGATGCTTGTATAGGGATGGGTATAGGATCATCTACTGGAGTACGATTCTTCTTGCAAGGACAGCTTCCCTAAAGAAAACTGATTCTCCCTCACCCACTAGCCATTAATTGCCAATAGCTCTTCTTCTAAGGGTAGAGGTTTGTGAGTCCCTGTGCTGGAGAGTTTTATGTTAGTGTGACACAAGTTTGTAGATAAGCCTGTAGGTCATTTTCTTAATTAGTGATTGATGTTAGAGGGCCCAGCCCACTGTGTGTGGTGCCATCCTGTGCTGTTGGTCTTGGGATCTTTAGGAAAGCAGGTGGAGCAATCCACGGGGAGCAAGCCAGTAAGCAGCACCCCTCCATGACCTGAGCATCAGTTCCTTGGCTCCAGGTTCCTGCCCTGTTCCTGTTCTGGCTTCCTTCAGTGATGGATTATGATGGAGAAGTATAAGCTGAATAACCCCTTTCCTCTCCATCTTGCTTTTGGTCATGGTGTTTCATAGCAGTAGAAACTCGGGCAGCCTCTTCTCCCATTCTTGCTGGGATTTTGACTGACTTGATCGTGTGCAGGTCTTGTGCATGTAGTCATTGCTGCTTTGAGTTCATGTGTGCAGTAGTCCTGCTGTGTCCAGAAAATAGTTTTTCTGCATGCAGATGCCCACTACCTATTGCTCTTGCAATGTTTCATCTTTCTCTTCTGCAATGGTCCCTGGGACTTGGAAAGGAGGGAATGTGGTATAGATGTCCCAGTTAGAGGTGAGCACTCAATCTCTTATTCTCTGCCTCTTGGCCAGTGTGGGTCACTGTATTATTCATCACCTACTGCAAAGAGAAGTTTCTCTGAGGAGCGTTGAGAGATACATTAACCTATGGGTATGAAGATAAGAATGTAGAGGAAATTGGGTCACTATGTCCATTTAGCATGTAAGTTTTCCTCTAGAGTCTATGACCTAGCCAGCCAAAGATTTGTGAACAATAACAGTTGTAGGCATGAGTTTGGCCTAGTGGTGTAGGATTTAAAATACAATCAGGAAGAGCTTGCTTTCTCCCATAACATTCATGCTGCTGCTGCACTGGTGGGCGTTTCATGCTAGACCCCAGAATTCACAACTGGGTGAGACTATTGATCACTCTTGTAGCATGCACTATGTGTGAGAGAGAGAGCCAGTAGGTAAGAATCACCCAGGTGAATTGGTTCCAACTTGATTTCTTCATGAAATGTGAAACAAGTAGGTGGTGTCTTCAGCAGTGGGTCTTACTATCAGGTTCTGAAGGGTAACTAAGAACAATGGCAATAATCTTCAGTGTTTGGGGGGAGTCTACAGTACCACACTCATCAACATTTCAAAAAGAGTTAACCAACGGATTTCATTTGATCAGTAGTCTGTGGTATCTGGGAGAGGCATTGTTCCCTATTATAGTGTAACTCCTTCTATATACATATATTTTATGAAGTTTCTATGGTAGTTGATTTTCATTCATCATTTTAAAAGGTCTATAGCTTAGTTATCCCTCCCAGCATTCCCTCCTCTACCCTGCCTTCACATCCCCAACTCCATTTAACCTTTCCATTGTCCTGCCTTCTGTGGGTACTCCCAACTAAAACATACATATCTACAAAGTCAAAGGCAGCACCCATGTATAAGAAAGAACATGCAGCATTGATCTTTCTGGGTCTGGGTCACCTCACTCAGAATGATTATTTCCAATTCTATCCATTTTCCTGAAACATTCACTCTTCTTTACAGTTGAATAAAGTCCCCCTGTGTATAGGTGTCCCATTTTCATTATCAACTCATGAGTTAATGGGCATCTAGGCCTTTTCCATGTTCTAGCTATTGTGCATAGAGCAGAAATGAACATGGATGAGCATGTATCTCTGTACTAGGACCTGGTCTTTTGGGACTAAACTCTGTATTGTTTCTAGCATTTTGAAGAATATCCACGTTGATTCCCAGAGTGGCTGTACAAGCTTGCACTTCCACCAGCAGTGAATAACTATTTTCTTCCCTGCATTCATGCCAGCATTTATTGTTTTCCTTTCCAACCTTTAGAAAGAACCCAGTAACAAAAACTTAGCCTTCCTGACATGGGGAAGATAAATTGTCACAGTAATTTTGATGTTCATTTCCCTGATAGCTAAGGATACTTATCATGTAAATTATACTTCTCAGCCATTTGTATGTCTTCCTTGAAATCTCTGTGTTCATTCTATCTTAGTTGCTGTTCTGTGGCTGTGAAGCAGCACCATGACTAGGACAACCCTTATGAAGGAAAACAATTAATTAAGGATTTATTTACTGTTTCAGAGGTGTAGTCCATTGTCATTATAGCAGGCAGCATGGTGGCATGAGTGGTGATAGTGGAGTATTAGCTGATAGCTGCGCCTAGATCTGCAGGAGTGGGAGTGGGGGCAGAAAGAGAGAGAGAGAGAGAGAGAGAGAGAGAGAGAGAGAGAGAGAGAGAGAGAGAGAGAGGAGGGAGGAGAGAGAGAGGGAGGGGGAGAGAGAGAGGGAGGAAGAGAGGGAGAGGGAGGGAGGGATGGAGAGAGGGGGGAGAGAGAAAGAGAGAGAGAGAGAGAGAGAGAGAGAGAGAGAGAGAGAGAAGGTGGGAGGGAGGGAAAGAGAGAGAATTGGGCCTGGCATGAACTTTTGAAACCCCAAAGCCCACCCCAAGTGAAATACTTCCAGTAAGTAATATTATTTTTCTGTGGCCTCTGCATCAGCTCCTGCCTCCAGGTTCCTGCTCTGTTTGAATTCCTGTCTTGGCTTCCTGGCTTCCCTTGATGGACTGTGATTCAAGATATACATGCAAAATAAATCCTTTCTCTCCAAGTTGTTTTTGAGCACAGTGTTTCATCACAGCAATAGTAACCTAATTAAAACATCAATTACCTAAGATTATGATGTAATGTAAACGGTTTAAAAAAAAGTTGCTTTGAGACAGGATAGTGATTTACAGACATTCTCTACATACATACATAAATAAATAATATTTATTTAAGCAATTGCTATGTATTTACTCATTAAAAAACTCTGCCTTCTTGCAGAATGAAGAAGATCGTGAATATGCCCCCAGAGGAAGGACATGGGTGTGACCACAGAAGGCACTGTTTTCATGAAGTTTCAAAAATCAGTCAAACTAAAATGAGCATTCCAGTTGCCAGGCTAAGCCTTGAGGTGATCTGTGACCAGCAGTGGGGTCAAATCACTTAATCTTAGGAAAAACAAATGTCTGAAAACTTCTACCAACCAATGAACACTGAGTCATAGTATTACATACATATCAGGGAAACACATGTCTTCTTTCCCTTTTTACTGGAAAGGCACAAGATTGAAGGGGCACAGGCAAGAATAAAAGGAAGAGAAAGAAAAAGTAAGCTCTCTCTTTTTGGAAGCCTGCCATACTTCTGATCTCCTGGCTTGTGTGTTTTCCTGTTAATAAAAATATTTGATTTCACATTGTATTGGTTCATGTACACAGGATTGATTTTCTTATCTTAAAACTGGTTTCTGGATAGAGCAGTGCACCATGACACTGCTAAGATTTCCAAGTAGGAAGTCAGACTTTTTGCTAACAGCTTTATTGGCACAAAGTGCATGCATAATTAATAGCTCTTAGTGCATGCATAATTAAACAATCCTCATCTTCCATATTCCCTAATTTGACGGGAAATTCTGGAGACACACTGGCCTCACTGTAAGAATGTACAGAGGAAGGGTGCTGTGCAAAACCTTCCGTGTAGTCATAGAGAGATTTCCTGGACTTCCGCGCTTCCTTTGATAATGTTTATTCGGCGCTGTCTCACTGTTTCCCAGTTCTTCTCCAAGGAACACTAACTAACCTCTGTGATGGAAGCGGCAATCTTACTGAGTCCTTTTCAGATCAATCTTCTTTTTTCCTTTCAAATTATTCAATTTAGTGCCTTCAGACATTTCCTTTCTGAATCTGTGGTTTGGGAAACTCTGGAGAGCTGTCTGTCTCTGCACCTCTCAGTTGAGGTTGGAACCCCCTGGGGCGATCTCTGGTTGCAGGAGATGTTGCTGTTATCCCAGGATGCCCCTTTGCCTGGGGAGGCAGCCAGAACTCCAGTAGTGGAACACCTGGGCTAGGAGGTCATGCGGGGTGGCAGCTAGAACAGCCCCCCACCCCCACTGTAACACCTGGGTTAGCTCTGCAGCTTTGTGTCCTCACAGGGTAGGGTAGGGTAGGGTCCCAGGGCAGCATTCATAGGTGGTTTCCTAATTGAATGTTGAAAGTCTCTTGAAATCCCTTTGTCATTCTCTATTTGCCTTTCTCTGCGGGATGGCCAGGAAAGGATGGCCTGTCCAGAGCTAGTATGCTCTGCTCTGTCTGAAGTGGCTTATGTCTCCCATTGGAAACCTCAGCACCTGCCACTGTTCAGGTGCCATGAGTTCACGATAAATTGAAGCACAAGGTCTTTCCTGTATTATCAGGTCGGGGTGGGGCTATGGTCCCTGGGGCGTGGTTACTAGAGTACTGTTCTTTGAAACAATCCACAGCCCAAGAGAGACTAGGTAAGAAGAAGGAGAAGCATCCCGAGGACTCAGCAAAGAACCCTGGAGAAACGTCAGACACTGAGGGCTGATTGCTCACTGAAGTCTTATGTGGGCAGTGCCCCCGTGTGTCTCCCATTTCTGTCTGTGAGATGGGAAGGGTGTGACACGTTAGCAGAATATAGTGTGTGGGTGATAACAGCTTGTCTCCTGAGCTCTGAAGCCTCCACATATGTTGGGCTGTGGATTGTAGCATGGGTATCCTTTACTTTACAGCTAATATCCACTTATGAGTGAGTGCATACCATGTTTGTCTTTCTGGGTCTGGGTTACCTCACTCAGGATGATTTTTTTTTCTAGTTCCACTCATTTGCCTGCAAATTTCCTGGTGTCCTTGTTTCTTACAGTTGAATAATACTCCATTGTGTAAGTGTACCACATTTTCTTTATCCATTCCTTGATTGAGAGACATCTAGATTGTTTCCAGGTTCTGGCTATTATAAATAATGCTATGGTGAGCAAGTGTCCTTGTGGTATGATTGAGCATCCTTTGGGTATATGCCCAAGACCAGTATAGCTGTGTCTTGAGGTAGATTGATTCTCAGCTTTCTGAGAAACTGCCACACTGACTTCTGAAGTGGCTCTACAAGTTTGCACTCCCATTAGCAGTGGAGGAGTGTTCCCCTTACTCCACATCCTTTCCAGCATAGGCTGTCACTTGCATTTTTTATCTTAACCATTTTGACAGGTGTAAGATGGAATCTCAGAGTCCTTTTGATTTGCATTTCCTTGATGGCTAAGGATGTTGGACATCTCCTTAAGTGTTGAGATTCTTCTGTTGAGAATTCTCTGTTGAGATCTGTGCCCTATTTTTAATTGGATTATTTGGTTGTTGATATCTAGTTTCTTTGAGTTCTCTATATATTTTGGAAATCAGCCCTCTGTCAGATGTGGGGTTGAGAAAGATCTATTCCCAGTCTGTGGGTGCTGTTTTGTCCTATTGATGGTGTTCTTTGCCTTACAGAAACTTTTCAATTCCATGAGGTTCCATTTAGTAATTATTAATCTTAGTGCCTGTTTATTGGTGTTCTGTTCAGGAAGTTGTCTCTTGTACCAATGTGTTCAAGATTAATTTCCACTTTCTCTTCATTTTTTAACTAGGCTCAAGTAGATCTTTATTAATCAAAATGGGAACCATTACAACCAACACATTTTTGCCATTGAGAAATAAGTTTTTATTCTTGTGCTTAAAAAATCCGTGGTTTAGAATTCAACAAATTCTGCATCCTGCTGATTGCAGAAGCATTTTCTCTGTATTATTGAAAAGTGTCAAAATCATAAGCTGTAGTTTTTGCTCTTCTAATTTGGTTCAAAACCTTTCCATGAAATTTCTATGATTTTATCCTTTCCTGTAAATTCAGATGTTTTAAAATCTCAATAGCGTGAATCAGTTAGACCTTTTCCACCTGGGGTTTCATCGAGTAGCAAAATTTTGCATTTATTTATTAAGAGCTTTGGCTTCTTATCCATTGTGTAACTGCTCACTAGGCATTGGGCTAATAATTTTGTTTTTATGATTTACAGAATTGAGGTTAAAGAGATGGCTCATCCACTTTCTCTTCCATTAGGTTCAGTGTATCTGGATTTATGTTGAGGTCTTGATCCACTTGGACTTGAGTTTTATTCAGGGTGGTAGATGTGGATCTATTTACATTCTTCTACATGTCAACATCCAGTTATATTGGCACCATTTGTTGAGCATGATTTCTTTCTTCCATGGTATAATTTTGGCTTCCTTGTTGAAGTTAGGTGTCCATGGGTATGTGGATTTATGTCTCTGGGTCTTGGATTCCATTCCATTGATCTACCTGTCTGTTTTTATGCCAGTACCATGTGATTTTAATTACTATAGGTCTGTAGTAGAGCTTGAAATCAGGGATGGGGATACTTCCAGAAGTTCTTTGATTGTCATACTGTGTTCACCATTAAAAATCTCTAACTCATTATTTTTTGTATTATCATATTATACAAATACTAACACAAGTGTAAATCAAAGCTGAGTATGTGGAATGGTAGAGAGCTTGCCTAGAATATGCCAGGACCTGCTTCCAAACCACAGCAAGGATCTAAATTGTTTATATGTTATTGTTAATTTACTTTCAAATATTATGTGTGTGACTGAATGTGGGTATGACTGAATGTGGTACTGACTGAGGCCAGAAGAGGGCGCTGTATCCTCTGGAATCAGAGTTACAGGGGGTTGTGAGCGGGTCAACCAGGATCTGGAAACCAAACTTGGTCCTCTAGAACAGCAGAAAGTGCTCTTAACCACTGAGCCATCTCTCCAGCCCCTAAATATAAGCCCTGTAAGTTGTTACTGACTTCACACATTCATTCCCGCAGCACTTAATTTGTTCTGTGTGTTACTGATGCAAAACTAGAGTATCCAACGCAGAATAGGTCATTGGATTCGGATTTTAAATAACACACCATACCGTTTTCATTTTAGGGAGAAGCAGCAGCGAAAGAAAACTTGGTGCGTGTTCAAGCGAATCCAAGCGCGGCAGTCCTAACTCGGATGGAGTCTGAAATAAAAGATATTGAATCTGCCATCTCTGAAGCAATCGCCCAAGAACGCACGATTAAAAGGGAACTGGAGACACTGAAGTCGCTCTACCGCGGAGAGTTAGAGCACATAGATGGCATGTCATTGGAACTGCGTATGTAAGCGGGAAGGAGCCACAGCAAGCCAAGCCCGTGCCTTGTCACGAAAGCCCAGTGCGCAGTGAACCCCGTTCGTGAGATTTGTAGACTATGAAAGCTATTGAGACAGTGTAATTCTGGGAAATGTGTTGATAAATGAGCCGCCTTTAAAATGTTAGTCCAGGACTGTTTTTATTTTTCCATTTTTCATTACATATGGCATTTCCTACTTTACTATTCTCACAGAGTTGATTTAATCAGTTTGATCTTTAATTGTTTATGGAAATCTCTAGGTAACAGTTTGTATTATTATAAGTTTTATTATTTTAGGTTAATTTTTCGGAGTTTCCGTAACTATAAACATCAAAAGTTTAGCTGTGTTTGGAAAATTATATAACCTTAACTCAAGCCTTCAAGTGCTGCTGGGCACATCCTGGCATGGGTAATTTAACGTTCCTGTGGTTTTCATTGTTACCACTAGAGGGCGCCTGCAGAGTGGCTGCCATTTAGAGTCTCTCCCTGAGACTGCATTGTGGAAATACAGGGAAGGACCAACACAGAGCTGAAGGCAAGCAGAAATCCAGCGTGGTTAGGGAATTCCTTGTTCAGTATGGGCGGGAGTGTGTAGCCGACAGAGAAAGCAGCCAGAGCCGGTCACTGATTTGGAGCTCAACTTCATTTTGCTGTTCCGAATTATTCCTGAGGCCCAAACACTTGCAGTGAGTAAACAGGCGAAGAAAACTGATTATTTTCCTTGGGGAGTTTTAAAAACATCTGCATATTAGCTCAATAGATACTAATATTCTTGCCCTGTTTTCCAGTTTAGTTCTATCAGCTTGATGTATTAATAAATTTATACCTAGTGGAACTCCGACTATAAGCAAATTGACACACCTTCACCTTACATAGTTACCTTCTAAGTACAAGTATTTTCTTTTTTATTATTAAGTTAGTTCTCGGCCAACCTCATACACGTATAATACATTCTGGCTGCTCTATCCCTCCACCATATCTCCTTCTCACCCCTATCAATCTCCTTCCTTCCCTACTTGCCTCTGTCCCCGAATTTATAACGTATGGCTTTGTTTTGTGACCCATTTAGTTGAACCAGAGTCATCTACGTGACCACTGGATTGGGATTCATTGGAGCCTGATGGTGTCACGAATGGGCACACAATTGAAGGCAACGAGTCCTCATTTCCCTAACTCTATCTAGAGCAAAGAGTTCAGCAGTGAGGAGTGGAGCCCCGAGCCTCTAGGGTAACTGTTCCTGGCTGTTACTCGTCTCCTTCTATGCAAACACAGTGTAGGCATCTATGGAGGTTGATGGTCCATGACTGCAGCGGGTTATCCTGTCCAGAAGTGAGCATTTCGGAGCCTTTTTTCCTGCTTTCTGTTTTGCAGGGTTCCCCAAGCCCTGGAGGGATTGGCATAGATGTTTTGTTTAGGACTGAGCCCTCAACCATCTCTTCCTCTCAGCACTGTAGGTACAGGGTTTCCAGCGCCTCTCTGAAGGGCCGTCTCTGCAGAACCTTCCACGGGGTTACTCCTGATGTGCTCCACTCCCCTTTCATTGTAGAACCCCCTCACACACACATAGGCCCCTTCAGAATGCTTTTAAACCGACAGTTATTTACATTAAGTATGTTCTGCTGGGTTTCCAGTGTTGAGAACTTACTCAGTGAAACTCATCGCTTCTTACGGCAACTAAAATCTGCTCCTTTAGGGGAAAACGCGATTATCAGTTTCTGCCCTTGGCAACCACACAGCTGTGCTCAAAGCGAAGTGGAAGGCAATGCACACCTCAAGGGCTCTGTGAAGCACGGTGCACACTGCACCGCTCCAACAGAGCCCATAGGCTCTCTCCCAGAAACGTTTGCAAATGTTCAGGAGTTTGCGGAATTTTCCTGCCAAGAGAAATGCCCTGATGACACCAACTGCAAATTCACACACCTGGGGTGAGGCTGGGGACATTCCTGAGGGGGCTTAGTATTTTTCCTCTGGGTTTCAGATTTCTGGTATGATTCTTACTTTTAATTAATCGAAATACCTAACCTATTTAATTGACTTGAGCTTGGTTGGGTGTGACCATAATAGGCATTAGTTACAAAAGAATACAAGGTTTGAAATTTACTGAAAATGGCCAAGATGTACCTGTCTTAATTTGATTTAATGTCTTTTTTAAATGATACACATTTCTTTTTAATCCACTCTTACATTAGGTTTTAGAAATTAATGCTACCTCTAACCACAGGCATAGCTGCAGTGTCCTAGCTGAGCTGTACACACAGGCACACTGAAGTGTCCTGACTCAGCTGTAACCAAGGCACACTGAAGTGTCCAGGCTCAGTTTCTCAGAGGCGTCAAGCTGGTTGTGCATTGTAACCATTCTAAGTCCACTACCCCAAGCCATAACTGAATGCTTGACAGAAAGACACATAGCCTCATATAGATACTTGTCTTTAAAAGAATTTGAGATGGATGCTTTTTCTGAATTAAGTAAATGTGCAATACTGAAACAACTAGCTTTTTTGCCATTTTCTTAAAAAATATTTCAATTGCTGTTTATTGATCACATTTTTGCTTATATAAAGTATTTTATTGCTGCATACTTTCTATTAAGTACTTAATAGTATAGATACTTTAAATACTAACTATATTTATAATGGATGCATACTTTTCTACTAAATACTTTTTAAATACTTTAAGCAAATAATTGAAGTTTCACAATGAAGTTCACGTATGTCTATCTTGCCTTCACAAGAATGAACAATGGCTTAGGTAGCAGTGATACTAAGATTCTTTAAATAGTACCTAGTCCAAAGAAGTGACTCACTGCTCTCTCCCGGAAAGCCCTAGGAGCCTGTCCATAGACCCCGTTTCCCCTGGGAACAATTGGGAGTTCTCCATGCAATGGTATGATAGTTGTTTGTGTCATTCATCATAAACATCCATTCTAGGAAGCTAAAAATGGTTCCAGTGATGACCATGTCAAACAAGCTTAATCAGCCATAGAATATATAAATATGCCTTATTTATTTGAAATATTTGTCTAGTGTTTGACCAATTTTTGGCCTAGGGAAAAATTTCATACAACATTCCAATAAAGTACAAAATGCAGCTGGTGATTTTCACTCTTTGTGGTTATTCATTAGTTTGTCTGTCTGTCTTCTGTGTACATTGACTCGTAGTTTTGGTAGCCTTTTGTCATAACACCCAGAACAGTAGTACAGGCCCATGTTAGATGAGGCCTCAACATTCTTTCCCAGCTTGTCCTGACAAAATCACAGACTTTACAATGTAACCTTCCATAAATGGTTTTACATACAAATAGCTGGAAGAGGAACGGATTCTGTTTTCATACATAAATCAGAAACACCTAGGGAACTAGTTTAATTACTGTTTAATGACATAAGTGATGAAATCCTAGCTACCTGACAATTCTCATGACTTTGTTAGCATAATTTCACATTTTCTGTCGGGGGGGGGGTGGAAGAGGACCAGGATTTGAATGCTTCAAAGTTCTGAGCCTGGACTACTCCATGCAAAAAGAAAAAACACACCTACAAAAAGAAAGAAATGCTCCAACAGGGACTGAATTGAGTATGATACAAATGTGAGATGCCCTTCGAAGCTCCAAGCAGAGAAATCTTTATAAGACTGCATTGTTTTATAAGGTGCCAGTACTGTCTTCATTATAAGCACAGCAGCACCTCTGACATAAATTGGACAATTTGGGGGTGGGATGGGGTTTTGGATGGGAAAAGAATTCTGTAGTCAGAGAAGACCTTTCTGAGTGTGAGTTTGTCAACTGAAGGATGAAGAGGAGTCAGACATGTAGCATTCTGGATGAGGAGGACAGTGGCCAGGCCTGTTCATCAGTTAATATTTATGTCCTATAATAACCAGTAAAAATAAAGTGTGCTGTCTTAGGGTTTCTATTGCCATGAAGAGACACCACGACCATGGCAATTCTTGTAAGGAAGACATTGGGGCTGGCTTACAGATTCAGAGATTTAGTCCATTATCATCATGGTGGGGAGTATGGTGGAGTGCAGGCAGACATGGTGCCAGAGAAGGAGCTGAGAGGTCTACATCTGGATCTGCAGACAGCAGAAACAACTATGAGACAAACTGGGCAGAGCTTGAGCATATATGAGAGCTTAAAGCCCACCCCCAAGGCCACACCTCCTCATAGTGCTACCTATACGCCAAGGTTTGAAACCCATGAGTCCATGTGGGCCATTCCTGTTCAAACCACTCCATCACTTTTCCTCTGGTAAAATACTGACAAGAGAACATGCAAGTGTAACTTGAATGAACAAATCTTCCCTTACAACGGCTTGGCATACTTTTAAGAAGTTTTCTATTAATAAAGAAAGAATTACACACTATCTAATTGGTGAGTGCTTCCATTTAAACATGACCTAGAGAATAGTTTTTCTGGGATGGAGAGTTGGCTGAGAAGTTAAGAGCACTGGCTGCTCTTCCAGAGGACCCAGGTTGGATTTCAAGCACCCACATGGCAGCTCTCAACCATTTGTAACTCCAGTCCCAGGGGATCAGACACCCTCTTCTGGCCTCGTTGTGCACTGCACACATGTAACACACAGACATACATACACATAGGGTAGGGAAACACCCACACAATAATTAAATTTTAGAGGCAATAATGTTTCTTATGATCATTTTGTTCAAACATGTTTTCCAATTAGTAAATTTAAACCTTTGTTCTTAACTGAAACCAGTTTTTAAAATTTTCTGTTAAACAAAAACAAAATCCAGGTGATGGCGGTACATGCCTTTAATCTTAGCACTTGGGAGACAGAGACAAGTGGAGTTCTGTGAGTTCAAGACCAGTCTGGTCTACAGATTTAAGTTACAGGATAGTTAAGGCTACAGAGAGAAACCCTATCTTGAAAGGTCAAAAAAATGTTCTGTCTATACTTGATACAGAAGATTCTTTATTCTCAACCAACTATCATGATAACAGTAAACTAGCAGCAAGATAGATGGGACTAGGTGTCAAGGAGGATTTGGGGAAGAAGAGGCACAGTCAGTCACGATGCGGGACGCTGGAGAAGTAACATGCTCGGATCCTTCCTCCGGTAAGAGAAGACCACATGGAAATACTCAGATTAGCCATTATGGGTTAATAATTAAGTCATAGCTAGCTAATAAGAAACCAAGCAAATAGCCAACAGCTTCATAATTAATATAGTGTCGTGTGTGTTATTTGGGGGCTGAAACTGCAGCAGGGCCCAGGCAGCTGGCGGAAAGACTACATGTTACAATTTAGTTTTTAAAGACACAATCTCAGTTTGGGTGGAGGAGTCAAGAGTTAGGCAAAGACAGATGACAACATGCAAACACCATCATCTAGAATTTCCAAGGAATGAGCTTGGGAAAATTGTAAAACAGGTATTTGGAGAAGTGGTTCAGCAGCAACACAAAGAGAGACTTGATGAAACAGAACAGGTTTGAACATTTCAAGTCCCTCGCAGAGTACTTGGCAGGTGTGAAAGAGGGACTCCCATGAACCACGTTAGGACGTTAGGCCTCAGATAACCAGTCAAGCACATTCTCTGTGTCTTGCTCCTGAGGGTTTGAGGTTGTCTGACTGCATTTCTTTACCTCTCTCTTTTCAGTCTGCATTTATCCCAGACTGACTCATACCATCACCACAATTCCTTCTTCTTATCCCTTTGTATTGATTTTTTTCTTCCTTTATTTTTTTCTCTATCAACACAAAACATACCACTGGCTTACTGAGTTTTCTTTCCACTTACACCCACAGTAAATACACAAGTGCCCACAGAACATCACTGTTCCTTTGCTTCTTAGGTGACTGGCATTTGAGGGATTTTTAAACTGTTAACCACATTTTTATAGTGTCCCAACCATGATTATGTTTATACACAATGTTTTCTGCAGGAGCACTTGGAATTCAATCTGGTGTCCCAAACAACAGAGAAAAAAAATGACACTTCAGTCTGACAACCACCCAATCTTTCTCGAGCATTGCAAGCACATCCATGGAATGAAATAAAATGGGTGTTCTGGAAAAAAATCCAACCTAAATCCAGATGTACAGAGTCCCATTGCTCAAGAAAAGAAACACCAAAAAAACAAGATAATGCCTCTCTAAAAAGTATTAATCCACAGAAGTGAACTTCATCAAATATGAATTATAAGATAGCTCAGAGAAACTCAAAAGAATGACAGTAAATATGCTCAAAGAAAATTCTGAATGAATTCCAAGAGTGTACAAACAGTTGAATGAAACAAGGAAGCCAGTACAGGATATGTAAGTGAATTTCACTGAGGTAGAAATAATGAAAAAACCCTTCTGAAATATTGGAAATGAGAATTTCTGTGCTAAACAAAAACTTCATGAAAAGACTCACCAAAAAGCCAGTATTAAGGGAAGAACAGAATATCAGGTCTTGAAGACAAGGTAGAAAAGCCAGAGTACTCAGATAATGACAAAGATAAATTAATACAATTTAAAACATCATCCAGGATCTACTGGACACTGAAAAGATAAATCTATGAACCATAGGCAAAGAAAAAGACAATTCCATGTTAACATATTCAGTAATGTCACAGCAGAAAATTCCCAAAACTTATAGAAGATCCCATCCATGTTCAGGAGGCATTTAGAACATTCAACATACAAAAGTATTATACAGAACAAAGAAAGTACATTGAAAGTGCAAGAGAGAGAAAAGTCAGACACAAAGGCAGAGCTCTCAAGATAACAGCGAATTTCTCAACATATTTCTCAAGCCCTGAAAGATAACAAATACCAACCCTGAATATTATACCCAACAAAACTATTTGTCATAATTGAAGGAGAAAAGAAAATGTTCTATGATAGAAATAGGTTAAGCTAATGATCCTTAGACCTTCTCAACATATGCTATTAAAAGGAATCTTTTATACCCACAATAGTAGAGGAAATAATAAGCTATATGCCATACTTGAATTGTATTAAACAAATGAAAACAAACAGGAAAAAAACACCAAACCCTACAAAAGCAACAAAATGCCAAGAATCAATAAATACTTTCCAATAGTAACTCTGAATATTAATGGTCTGGATTCTTTAGTCAAAAGAAACAAGTAGATTGGGTTAAAAGACAGTATGCATCTATTTGTTGCTTCCAGGAAATGCATCTTAGCCGGGTAGTGGTGGTACATGCCTTTCATCCCAGCACTCCAGAGGCAGAGGATCTCTGTGTCTTCCAGGACAGGCTCCAAAACTACACAGAGAAACCCTGTCTTGAAACTCCACTCCCCACCCCCAAATGCAACTCACCATCAAAGAGGATGTGCCTCTCTGTGATCCACATTAGCTGGGTAATTTGAGGAGATCCTCAAGCGTGTGTCCCTTGCATTGACAGGTGTAATAAATGGTACAGGTTGTACATCAGAGGCACATACAACCAAGCTAGTGTCTGGAGCCAGATACTTCAGAGAGCAGAATAAGCTCCAGTGTTTTATATGGAAGTTGTCTGTAACTTTGTTAATGTTCTTTGTTGTAGGGTGATTAACACCACAGGCACAGTGGGAAATTCATGCCTACATGTTAGAATGGAAAATGTTTCCAGTCATGGGAATAGAATCCCTGGCCTGAGCGGGGACATGCTTCGCTGGTTAAGGGACCATCCCTGGGAAGGTGGGCTCCCTCGACACCCTACTGAAGACAGAGGTGAAACAGTTGGTCTTTTAATGAGATATTGCACCTTACTTTGCCATGTCTCCCTAGTGCCGAAGTGCATGGGCTGCAGCCATGTAGGGTCTGCCCCTTCTTCTGAGTCATTCAGCAAAGCTCAGCTTTCCCTTTCCTTCTTCCTGTCTCTTTCCTAAGCATGCTCTCCTTTACAGTTTGTGCTTGCTCTCCTTCATGGCTTCCTTAGTCTTTCTCTATCCCTCCCCACGGCTGTGTGGCTGCTTGTCTGACCTCCATGCCAGCTTAGTGGCATGCCTCCTTCTTGTCTCTCCTCCATTCTCCCTCTCCAGGCAGCAGCTGACATTCCCAGCTTGCCTGTCCAGCAGTTGGTTTTCTAAATTCTAACAAAATTGTCTTTGTGCTTTCATTTGAATCTGTCC